ACGATCTCTGTGCACTTTTTACACTTGACATAACAGCACCAATGGAACTTGCAGTGGCAACGCTCCACCTGGACGCTCTTGAACTGGTCATAACCCCGTCCGCAGCACATCAGCTCGCACCCATCCATGCCCTCCGAGGTCTTGTTGCACAGCCGGCCCTGGGTGCCCAGCGAGCCGGTGGTCTCATTACGCAGGCAGTAGTCCGGGCTGGGGTCGACGTAGACCAGGTCTTCTTGCGTCGGCATGTTGAAGCGGTTGTTCACCAGCTCCAGCTTGCCCTTGCGGCTGATCCTCATGGCAGCGGGGCCGGCGTACTTCTGTCGTACTTCTCCTTCAGCAGGTCGCCCACCTTGCGGAAGTCGGCCAGCTGCAGCCAGCAGGTCTTGAGGCTGCAGGAGCCCGACACACCGTGGCACTTGCAGGCCACGTCCGCCAGCTTGTACACGGCCTGCGGGAAAGAGAGGGCAATCAGGCAGGGCTGTGCGAATTCTCGCCGCGCTGGCAGCTGGCTTAATTGCAATGAATTCATCATGTTTTCCTAACCGCTTTGATTATCGCCCCACTTCTGCTGGTTCACCCTTCAGAAGGTTGGCAGCCCAGAAGGCCAACTGTATCCTGGGCTGTATCCAGAGAAGTGTGGCCAGCAGGGCGAGGGAGGGGATTCTGCCCCTGTACTCTGCTCTGGTGAGACCCCACCTGGAGTGCTGCGTCCAGCTGTGGAGCCCTTAACATCAGAAGCATATAGACAGGTTGGAGCGAGTCCAGAGGAGGCCACAAAGATGCTCAGAGGGCTGGAGCCCCTCTGCTATGGGGACAGGCTGAGAGAGTTGGGCTTGTTCAGCCTGGAGAAGAGAAGGCTCCGAGGAGACCTTATAGCACCTTCCAGTACCTGAAGGGGCTACAAGGGTGCTGGGAGAGGACTTTTTACAAGAGCCTGTAGTGACAGGACAAGGGGTAACAGGTTTAAATTGAAAACAGGAAGGTTTAGAATAGGTATCAGGAAGAAGTTCTTCCCGGCGAGGGTGGTGAGGCACTGGAACAGGTTGCCCAGAGAAGCTGTGGATGCCCTATCCCTGGAAGTGTCCAAGGCCAGGCTGGATAAGGCTTTGAGCAACCTGGTCTAGTGTAAGGTGTCCCGGCCCATGGCAGGGGGGTTGGAACTAGATGGTCTTTAAGGTCCCTTCCAACCCAAACCATTCTATGATTCTAAGAGACCGAAGTCTCCTCTTCCTCCTGGTGCGACTGCTGTGTTCCCTAAATACTTCTGTTTCTGGCCATGCTGCCTCCAGGCGTGACTTCCCCACGCCGCCTCCTTTTCCCCTCACGGATTTCTGACCTGACGGCAAGAGCGGGAAAGAAGAAGAGGAAGAGTCCCATCCACGTGGGCTCTGGAACTTCCCCCCGCCTCACAGGTCAGCGTGGCATCACGTGTTTTTCCCTTCAGAGCTGCGAAAAGGGAAGAGTCGGGAACCCGCCCACTTCCTGCCACCCGCACCAGGAATGCTATGGCTGTAGGGATGGATACACCTGCATCCCGCTGAAATAAATCCACGGACCTGCGCCCTTTCCCTCCATCACCGCTCACAGGAGCTCGTTCAGGGGCAGCGTCCTGAGGAGGGGTCGCTTTCCAGCAAAGAGCACGCGGGAGGGGCGGAGGTGTGGAGGAAGACGAACACCTCTACCCCGGAGCAGAGCAGCTTCATCCCTGCTGGAGGTGTCCCCAGCTCTCTCCCCGAAGAGCAGGCCCTAACTGCAAACCTGCGCCATCTTGTGTCATGTCCAGACATCTCCCTATGCGAGCGGGGAAGTGCCGCCAGGCCGAAGGGCCTACGTTCCCAACAGCAAACGCAACCTTCCCGGGATGCTTTTTCCGAGATGCTCGCAGCTACTGAGCCTGCGGGGGCTGCGGATCCATCGTAGCCCCGAGCATCCGGCATCAAAGCTCAGAAACGGTCTTGAAAGTTGAGGCCGCTGGGCCTTCAACCCCGAGCAGAGCAAGTACGTGATGTTAGGGATGAGGGTGGTTACTCCCTCCTCCTCCCCACACTAGCTGGGAGGAGAGGGAAACACAGAAAGATATTCTAGAATAACAAAGCTCAGAACGGCATGAAAACGCAGGTCGGGTTTGTTCCTTCCATCCATATCAGGGGCAGGTACAAAACTGCGCCGCGTGAGATCCCGTCAGCGTGCAAAGCGAGGGGCTGGCATCCCCAGGCAACGGGGGCTACGCCGTGTTAGGGCAGCTTACCCCTCCCAGCCCTCACTCCTCGCCGTCAGGCTGGCATCGACCCTACCGCAGC